AGCTTATAAAGATAGGGAGAGTAATAAGCAAACACACACATATATAAATATATATATAGTATGTATTTTACAGTTGCAGAAATACTTCCTTTGTTAACTGTTATGCTACCTCTGCTACATAGCATACAAAAAAAAATCCCTTCTGGTTTTGTAATGTAAGATCAAACTGAATGGATAACAGTTTGTGTGTGATTTTTTTTATTTATTCTTTTTTTTAACAGGACTATTATCCAGTGATATGCTCCTCTCCCAAAGCTTGTCAAATTTCTTTCTTATGGACTTTTGTTGCTTGGTAGTAGGTTTGAGCTCCATGGTGCAGGTGGTACAAAGTTCAGTTTTATGTGTATGGGGTAAAGAGGGATTCAAAATTTTTTTTCCTCCATTTTGAACCAAATGTTTCATTTTTCCCTTGGTTTTCACCTAGATCTTATTTTGTGAGAAGCTATGTATTATTCATGTGTGTAGTTTTGCAGCTGCCTCGCTTTACAGCTCTCCATCATATGGACATAGTTTGGTATTATGGCCTGTTCTTTTTATCCTTCTCTAAGCCTTGTCTAATCTTCTTTGCATTTTGAAATGGTGTGATCAGGTCTGCGCTAGAGTGAGAACATGAGGGAATTACTTACGACATTATCGCATATAACCCGAATGCAGTTATTCTCTATCAAATCAGATCTCTGTTTTAAGCAAATCAAACGTGCCCTCATCCCATGAGTTAACATATGGGTGTCCTTGTGCACGTAATGGGTATACATCTCATTATGTAATTGGGGACTGTCAGCTGCGTGACCTGCTCTGCACACAGTCCTCCTTTCCTTGAGTTGGACACTCATCCGCCATATGGTGGTACCTTCTAGTTTGCTCGTGTGACGTGTCTGTTTCCAGTGACATGAAGGGAGAAGGGCTACAGCCTTTCCTTAAACATCGTGACAGGGAACCAGCTGTGAGAATAATTCATGCAGCCCCTGTTTACTCCTATTTCTAGATGTAATAATTTACTTTAAGTATAAGCACACCACTACTTCGTTAAGGAAGTCTAAAAATTACAGACTTAAAGGAAAATCTCTAAAATAAAAAGTTAGTTATTTTGGCTCGTCTTTTGTTACTTAGTCAGTGGTACTTGTGTTAGTTCAGTAGGTATTCTTGTGAGAAGACAGAACTTGATCCATACAATTATTCAGTATATTTTGCCAACATATGTGGAACTGTACATATAGAAAGACACAAAATATGTAGCCAGCATCCCTAGTTCAGGTTCTAAGCCCTTCACTCTCAGTTGGATTTTTGGGTAAAAGATCAAGGGCCTGATCTTTCAGTAAAAGCAAAGGGAGGGCTGGGGTAGAGAAAGAGCAAAAGGTGTTTGAGGAGCTGTCCTTGAGCGACCTGTGGCCAAGCTTAGTGTGTCCTTACCTAACCCCTAGGCAGGGAGTCCTGCAGTGGAGAGAAACTCGTGGCTAGTAGCCTGGTGTGAATCAGGACCATGTTTTGAATTAGACACCAGTAAGAATTGCAAGGTGGCTTTGAGCGTCTAGCAGAAATTGATGTGGAAATCCTGGATTTCCTCATCTTTGGCGAACGTTCAGATTAATAAATCATTATGTAAGAAGTGGTCCCCAACCACCACCTCCTGGTCCCTCAGGTATTTCTGTGTGGGAGTGGCTGGTATTCCAGATGAGAGTAAGAACCTGCACAAAATCTGAGGTTGGCAGGCTATGGTAAATGTCTTCAGAGCACATCCATGTAATCACTTTATTTTTTTCAGGGAGATTAGCCTTTGGGAGCCTTCCTTTGTGACTCTCAAGAGACTGTATGTGTGCAATGGATATCCAGCACACTACTTTTCCAAAATAGGAACCGTGTATGTAGTAGCTGTATGGCAAAGTAGTACAGGAGGCAGGATATTTAATAATTGGGGTCAGGGACTTTTGAAATTAAGTTTTCTTGTATTTTAGCCTATTCGTATTTCTGAAAAGTTGTAACACTTAAACTGAAGTGCATCCCTTTTTATGCTGCTTATCTACAAAATTCTCCGTATCTTAGGAGAAATCAGCTATTTGGGTAAGAATCAAAGCTAAGTTCAGGGGTTGGAAAGCAGTTGCTGAGTTAAAATGGTCAGATGACATCTGCATTGCTTCCCAGCTGAAGTGAAGTAACTTGGATGTTCTAGGCCTGAAGCTGGGACCGTGAAGATCTCGAGAGAGAGCCTGACTCCAGCTTCTTGGAGTGCTCAGTTCTCTCTTGCAATAGCTACTGCAATATCCATGTGCTGTAGCTGTATCCATGTAGCTAATTTGACGCTGTATGTAACTTCACAGATTACATTTTCTTTTTTTTGGTAGGTGCAGTGGACGTCAATCTGTTTTCATTTGGATGTCTCATTGCTGGTCTGAAGGCTTACTTTCACATTTTTATATTTCAGTAAGCCAGCTGTGAGTAGCAGCTTCCTGCAGATTGGTAATTCGAGCTGGATTTTTTTTTGTTGTTACATGAATGTATGTGCTCAAGCAGCATTTCTGCATGTGTTTCTTTCTAATCTCTTGGTAGGCAGTCTTGGATGCAGAGCCTGTAAGCCAGTGGTTTCAACCTTTTTGTTTTTGCAGCAATTCTGCTCTCAAGATGTGTATCCTCAACCCCACTTGGAGTTCCCTAGCTGTGCTGGTGCAGTTAGATTCCTGTAGAGCCAGTGACCCCAAAGAGAAAGATCCTGAACCCTCGTTTGGAAGCTGAGGGATTCAATGCCTGATTCAAAGATTCTGGAGTTAGTATAAGACTAACAATGGCTTTAGTAGGCTTTGGACTAGTCCTGCAGTGTGTAACTGATTATTTTAATGGGAGTTACATGTGTACTTCAAGATCATATAAAAATTAAAAATTACTGCCAGCAAATTCTTTTACCGTGACATTTTAAAAAGACAATTAAAGATTGAAACACAGTAATATTGGGTGGTTACGTAGGGATACGTGACAAGTGAATGGGCTATTTGAGCGGCTTATTAGTGGTTGCTGTTGGTTTTTAATTTGTTAGATTCTAAATGCTGTGGATAATACCTTTAAGTTAGTGATGCCAAAAATAGGAGTTCCATTATTTTTCTTCTTTCCTTAGTCTAAGGAAACACAGGAATCATTGCAAAGAGGAGGATTTGCAGGCTTCTGGGCACAGGGGTAGGGGCTGTTCTCTGAGGACTTCAAGGTGTTTAGTATAACTGAACTCACCCTTTGTATAGAGCGATCTAATAGCCAGCCAGTTGGATAGCCAACACCTCCGAGCCAATATCAGAGTGTCCCCATTGACATTTAAACAGTTTGGGGGAATAATCAAGGTTTCTGTGCTTCCAAATGGAAGTGTAGTCCGCTTCAGATGGAGTGTAGGGGATGGAGGTGTAGTCCAAAATACTGTTTTGCTGTGAAACCATGTCCCTTGGCTTCTCGCTATTGCTCTATTTTCCTTTCCTTCCCGAAACTCTATCATGTGCCTTTTGTTTCCTGCACTCCACAGATGCAGGCAATGAAGCTGCTCTCAGCTTTCCTCTGCCAAAATGAGGTGCTTTTTTGTTTGTTTTTGTTTATTTGTTTTTCCCTAATGCATCCCCAAATATAGGGAAAGGAGGTTTGTAGGGGATATTTTTGGCCATTGAATGTAGAAGCATTCAGTGACGTACAGCCAGATTGCCTAAAGTAGCTTCACTGAAGTTTATGGTATGAATCTCTCTGAATTCTTAAATTATTATTTCTTTTTCGATGGATTTTGGCTCTTTTCCCCTCACATGATATAATCTTCTGTTTCTTTCAACAGTCGTTATGACAGAATCTAAGTGCCTTACCAAAAAAAATAAAAAAATCTAAATTCATAAGATTTTGGTGTTTAAGTGGTCATTCTGGAACCATATCAGTTGTTCATTTGAAGGTCAAAAGTTTTTAGGTAACAAGATTCTAAAAATTTTAGGAATCTGAACAGAAGAATCCAGATGGTGACCTGAGAACGGACTAGGTTGGGATGTAACAGAGCTGCACTGATTTAGTGCAGCTCCTAATACAGCCTTCCTTTTAGGTTTAGGGCTTTGTGAAGCTGCTTTCGATTAATCTGTTTTGTTTGATTTTTGTCATTGCATGTGTATTTGCGGTTTTTTGGATATAGGTTTTTGTAGATAGTTGGATGATCCAACTGCATTTTACATTCCTAAAATATTTTGCCAAGTCTACATTTCTTTAAAAAAATATGTTTTTGAAAGCTTGCCTCTTCATAAAGCTGAGTGCTTCTACAATTTCAGTAATATCATAGGAATAGTATATTCATAGTAATTTCAATAAAATCATTATGTAATGATTTTCCAACTGTTTCAAAATCAAAACAATAATATTGGGAAGGACTTTAAAATTTCGTGTGCATGACAAGCAAATTTCTGCACGCAGGTGGAATAGATCACGTTTTAGTTGACTCAAATTTGTTTTCTCGGTAACAACTCTCCTGTCTTCTTGGTTAAAACTTTTTGAGTTATGTTTTTGAGTGCAACAAATGAAAAGAAAAATACCTGTTGCTTGGTTATTGGACACGCTCTTCTGGCAAATCTTAACTTTTTCTTGTGAAGTTTTCCACTTCTGTATTTTACTTTTTTCCTGTTGCATGTGCTATAGTTAGAAATTGTCTGGGTCAGTGAATTTATATATATTTACTTTAAAAAAAAATCTCCTTAAACATAAGTAGTTTAAAGGAGGAAAAAATCCATTTTATAAATGTAATCTTAGCCAGCTACAGAGAAGATTTTTTTTGAAAAGCAAAATATTGCATTTTTATGATATACTTAAGAAGAACACTTATTGTCAGTTTAAACTTAATGATTTCATTTCAGTAGTCCTCGAGATTAAAGCCATAACCTCATATTCGTTATGTTGTGATAGAAAAGACCTATATAATTTTTAATTGAATTGAATTTTATAATTGAACTGTGTCTGATATTACGATTTAACCCACTAACATGGTTGGCTCTTGAATTGTTCTGCAGAATGATGGGAGCATGAAAAAAAGCTGTTGAGTTCTCACATGCATCCGCCTGATCATTCGTAGCAATTTGGAATTGGCCTTCCAGCTGTTTTCTAATTGGTAATTGCTTGTTTTTAAGAGTTCCACATGCTACTCATGGTGATTAATTTATTTCTGTTTTCTTTTTTCCCTCTCTTTTTCCCCACTGCCTTCCTACATGGGAAAGCTTAGATTGTAAACCATGAATATAAACGAGATGTAAATACCAGTGAGCGCTGTATTTTGGGCTTATTTAAACAGAGGAGCCCTGTGTGAAAGTCCCTTTAAGTGCTCCTGTAAACTCCTTGAGGAGATGACTCTGTGGACTAGACTGTGAATTATTGCAAACAGCACTGGAGCTCAGTGAGTTTGGTTAATACCCCTTATGTGATTTCCTCCTCTTTCTTCTTCCACTTTAGATCACTTTCTGTGTAAGCAACAATAATGCTGAAAGGTTTTGGAGGATGCTAATTCAGGAAGGCAGTACTCATTCTTACCATGTCTTGGCTCTGAATATACAGCTTCAGACTCCCCTTTGTATGTTCACTTCATCTTCCACCAAAAATAATAGACATTTTGCTACTGATTTTAATGGGATTAGGATTAAGAGTCTGTATTTGTATAACAATGTATTTTTCCTTGGATGCTGGTCTCCTTTTACTTAAAAGATTTGCTAACCCTAATAGGAGGAAAATATGCCGTGTTCGTCATGATATATAAGAGGGGGGTATTCCTTGTCAATGTAATCTGTATAAGCTTTAGAGAAATGCTGAGATGAATGTGAGGAACATGTTTCACGACTGCATTTCCTTTTCCTCATAAAGAGTTTAAGGTTCTTGTAATGGGTCAGTAAATCAAGCCAACTCTGCAAGGATCTCTTACATATGAGAACTGACTTCTGCTGATAGTCTGCACAATGTTAGTTAGAATGGGTCGTTCTGTAGTAAAGCTATAGATCTGCTTTTATACAGAGCCAGTGCAGGGATATGTGACTTATATTGAAAGGCATAGATGGAAAAAGTAGCCAGACGGGAAGCATTTCACCTGGATGAAACATTGCATTGCACAACTGTGCCTGCTCTTAAAGCCCTGGTACCTTTCTGCCTGTTTTCATGCCCACTTTTATGTGGGCTTGTATATGTTGCTTTATCTGGAGTGAATATTATAGGCCAAGTGTCACTGTAAATTCTGTATGCTTATAAAAGTTGAAGCTTCCACGTTTTAAGTTGTATTTATAGTCTTCGTGAGGAACATTGCTTCTACAATAGACATTTGGAATTATTTCATTAGTCACAAGAAGAGTTGTTTACTGGGTTACACAAAAAAAAATGGTGTTAGAACAGATGTCCAAACAACATATATTTGTAACTACTGCGTCTATTTCCAAAAAGAGATTTTGTTGAATGATGATACCCAACACAGCTTTAATGAAAAATCACTCCATTGGATCATTTCTCGTGCATTTTAAAAGCATCAGTACTTGTTTTTTTCATTAGTGAGACTTTTAATGTGTGTATGTTTAATTATACATAAAAACACTTACATCCAGAATCAAAAGCCACTGTGGGAGCAGGTGCTTGGTAACTCTCCATGCAGAGCTGTCCATGCCAGCTTTGAAAGTATTTGGATCCAGTGAATCTAGCTGAAGCCTCAGAGTAGGAGAAATTTTGAATTAATGCATTCTTACTTTGTTACGTTTACTTTGAAATATTAGTTTACAGCCATTTCTAATATGACATTCTTGTCTGTTTTTCCATTAGAGAAAATTGTTTTACTCTGACCTCATCTCTGCTGGTACTGTTTTACCATCGGCCTGGCACTGGCTAGATTAGAAAGCATGTGGATGAAGAGCATGGGTCGGTAAAAGCTACTCTGAGACCAATGGAGAAGTTTGCTCATCTGCTTTCCCTCTTAAATCTCTAGAAAAGGAGACTGTTCAATGCAACTTTTAGGTTTTTTTTTAGTGTCCACTGTGAGTGTTTTTTGCTGGAAATTTAAGGCCTTTATTATTTATCCTGACTGATAAGGACATGGAAGATGGCTTATTTCTTCTGCCTCTGCGTTTAGCCCTTTTACTCCCCCAGGTTTCTCTTCTCTAGACTAAACAACCTTGGTTCCCTCAATGTTTTGCCTAGTCAGTCTTAGCTCCTGTTCAGCTTTGAGACTCTTGTGTCAGTTGCATAATTGTAATTCATCTTTTTTATAAAAAAAAAGAAAAAAAAATTGTATTAAAACAGTCCATCTCCTCAGCTTAATCTGTCAATAAACTCCTCTCTTTTGAGCAGATCAGCTCAACTTTTTGAAAGTTAAAGGACTTTTCTATTGAAAATTGCATTCTCCTTCACATTATATATATAGTTTCATCACATTATATATATAGTTTCATATATATAGTTTATATATATTTATATACAATATATAAAATATATTTATAATATATAAATATTTTATGTATAGTTTTATATAGTTTCAGTAAAATCTAAAAATGTTTACCCTGTAGTTGCTGTCTCACTCTTCTTTCTCGAAACATTTTTGTAATTCCCTTTGCTGGACAATGTTATGCGTCCTTCTTTCCTCAACACATTATAAAGTTAAAGCACAGTTTAAGTTTCCCAGTACTGGTGTGTCCTGCCCATTGCTCAGACTGCCGTGACGGGCCACGTCCCTGCAGTTTATAGCCCCAACACTGTGTTTATGCTTTTCGTTTTTGTTATATCTACTTGGAGTAGATTATTTGCTTATGAACAGTATATGTTATAGTACATACTGTGATGCAGAAATTGACATTGTTTATAGGTGCAGCTTTAAAAAAATGTAGTAGTACTTCCTAATAGTGTCTTATAATGGTGTGATTTATCCTGTAAGGATGCTTTATTCAGAGCTCGGTCACTTGCCTGGAAATCTGTAAAACCTAAAGTGAAATTTCAGCTTGGTAAATTATTTGAACTTATTAGAAATAGAGGGCTGGGTTTAGGGCTGAACCACTTTACATAAGCTAACAATCTGGTCTGCCAACAACAGCTTTGTGTTTATAAGGACATAAGGTAGATTTATCAGAGTTTGTATTTGCTGGTGATTGATGTAGTGCATAGACGTAATAAGTGCCAGCTGTTCCTCCCACATAAATCAAAAATAATATTTCCATTTATTTCAGTGTGAACTGTGTGACTTGGTTGAATTATTTTTTGAAGTCAAGAGTTCTTACAGTTACTGCAACAAATTAAAAACATTATGATGTGAAATTATAATACAACTTTGAAACAGTATCAGTTACCTTTATATCAGGAGGGATTGCTATCCTGCATGAGCTATGTCAAGACACTTTTTCATTTCTGTCCTTATTTCAGCGATAAAAATTTCCATTTTTCTCCATCAAATGTTGTGTTGTTAGTGACTACCTGCGTAACTACGTACTTTTTGTTTTAGGTAGGTCATCCTCCATGCTAACTGCGTTGAAATAGACTTTTCTGTTCTTTTTGTTCTCCGTTTTCCAAGTATATACTTTGTCAGGAACTATTGAACAGGAATTTGCACATTTAGCATGAAAAAGCCCAGAGTTTTGATGTAATAATGTATAAATCCAGTGATCTATTACAAATAGCTGTTTTAAATCATGATTTTTTATCTGCCCTCTTTAGGCCAGAAAGAGATCTCATTTCCTTACTACTTTGTCATTTTTCAGTAATTAATAAATGTGTTAAATTTCACATGATGAAACAGGATCTGAAACATTTGTTACATATTTGCATAGTGTAGCTTGTCAGTTATGTGAAATGGAAGAAAGTGAAGCTGAATTAAAACACTTGCTCAGTATGCATAGTCATGTAATGCAGCAAGCACATTCTTGCAGCTGGTTAATAAACTCAATAAATGAGAGTTATCAACAGCTGGTATCTGCCTTTATAGTAAGCCAAATGAGCAACTGGTGCACGGTGACCTTTGATAATTTATTTTAATCTTATTTCGAGTAGCTATTTAAAGCTCTAACACAAGTTTAGTTAATAAAAAAAATGTGGTTGTTGGCATTCTTATGGACATTGCATGTCTTATGCTGTTTCTTGACCTTCATGTTATATGGATATATTTTTTTTATTTTCTTAAATGAAAACACACTGCTGCTTGTAAAAGGAGATGGGACTATTCTGTTCAAGCATGTAATAAATAGTATCAGTTCCCTTAAAAGAGTTCAGTTGGTTCCACTTGATTTTTTTAGGCTCCAATTCTGCAAACTCGTATATGTGCTATATAATGCAAGTCTTACTGAATTTTTCAACTTCAAACTGGGATAGATTGGAGATAGCACAGAATGTACAGTACTTTTGCTTGCATCTGACTTTTTTTTAGTATATATAAAAGTCTTACCCTTGTGTTTTTATTTGCGGCTTTCTCATGTTTTGAACTTGAAAGAAAAATTAGCTAATGTTCTTTATATTTGAAAGAATATAAATCTACTCATTGCCTTTAAATATCATTAATATATGTGTAAAATATCACAATATTTTGCCACTTCAGCTGTGTCTTATTCTATTTAATCCATTTACTTTCTAAAGAGTTGCATGGAAGTTGCAAGACAGGGATGCTATTGCTTTTAAATATAAGCTGGAGCTTTATTATTTCAGAATTTTTTCTTTTCAGAAGTCGACTTCCCTGACTTGACCCGCAGTAACCTCTGTGAGACATCAGCACAATTTACAAACCAATTACATGAATTGCTTTACTGGAACTTGTTAATCGCTTTCTGTTTATACATTAATGTAATATAAATATAGTTTAGGCAATGAAAGCCCTTGGGGTAAATTTATGTCCTGGATAACCCTGTTCTAGTGACCTCGAGAGAATTACTCAAAGTCAAGACAGAATTTAAATTGGAAGACCAGGTCTTCAGCTGCTGTAAATAGTCACAACTTTGATAAAAACACTGTAGCTATGCTAGAAACGGTTGTCAGGACAGAATTTATAAGGAATTACAGTACGTTTTTGCTGGGTTTTGGTCATTTGCTGGCAAATACTAGTCTAGACCCAAGATCTGAATGCATCCCATGCAATCAAATTGGACAACTTCAGTACTGCATTCTGTGGCAGGACCTAAGCCCGTTTTTTAAATATATCATTTGAGTACCACTGCAGGAGAGCTGCATTTATGTGTTCTCGACGCAAGCTGAGATATCGTCAGTTTACAGTTCCAAGATCTAGAATCCCTGTGTTGGAAGATACTCAAATCTTGTTGAGTCCCATTCACTAGACTTCAGTTCCATCACCTACATTGTGTAATACTGGCTGCAAGATCTAATGCATAGATGCCTACAGCTCTTTCAGCTTTTGTTCAAGCTGGATCTTGGTGCTAGCGCTTGCTGCATCATTTAACAAATTTGAATTAACTGTCAGTAGGTTTTAATAATGATACTGTCAATTACTCATATGCTGAACAGTTTCCGCTTCAATTTGCTGCACAATTAATAAGAAGTGATTAAATGTTTTTAGACTATTTTGCGATTAGTTATGCAATTTTCCCCTCCCTTCCTCCCTCATTTGACTTAGTGCAGCTATAGTTTTCCTAGGAGTAACAGTGGTCATTTGAAACTGAGGGCTGAAGGGCAAACAGCCTCTCTGGCAGATTGCCTGTACACACTTTCTGGTTATTATTTTCTTTTTGGAATGGTGGGAGATAGAAATAGGTATTTAGAGACAAGGAAGAAACTTTTTGGGAGAAGAGAAATGAACATGTGGGTAACAGACAGAAAAGTGCTGTCAACCTGGGAATCAAATGGGAGGAGCTAGAGCTCCGCATGTGGATGCATCACTGTGGCATCTTTGGGATAACAGTGAGAGACGGATATAGGGAGACAGAGAGGGAAGACGTGGATGGACTTTGTCTTTTGCCAGAAGCAGTAGTTCAGACAGGATGGTTCACAGGCAGTTTAACTGCTTGTAGTTAAGGTTCAGAGGAGAGGCTAGTCTGGGATGTTTTGAGATTATTTCATGGTCAGGACAATTCTTGCTGAAAGGGCAACACAGTGGAATATGAGCAATTGAAGAAGTTTTTGAACTGTCCAGCAGTGAAGGGAGCTAATTCGTATGTAATATGAATCAGTCTGGACAATGCTGCCCTGGCTTTGCTACTCAAAAATAAAGAACAAGATGATGATGGATGGCTTCTAGCAACCATGAGTTCAGGTTCCATGAGACTCCATGAGAATGGAGTTCAGGATCCTCAGGGGAGGGAGGAAAGCAAATAGTAAAGTACAGTACTTTTGTCAGTGACAGAGGTGATGTGATGCTGCATATTTTTTAGAGGAGATTGTTCATCTTATTTGTGAAATCTTCACTTTTATAATGTAGACAGGTACCTGATTAAAAAAAAAAAAAAAAGCCAATAGCTGCTTTGACCTTAGACTGTAGGCAGTGTTAATCTATTTAACTATATTTGGGCACACTTTTAGTGAAGATTATATTTACAGTTATTTAACTCTTCCTCACTGTACTAAGCTTTTCATATAGAAATATTGCCCAGTTTGTGACTCCCTAATGCATCTCAAATGAATCTTGAGCATACATCTATTCGTAAGAGCACATATAGTGCTGTATAGGAGTTGTACTTTATTAGCAGATTTGACTATGTTATCTAATTAATATTCCTTTAAAAAAGAACTCATAAGAAAACTCCTGATTTAGGATAATGTGTCACTTGCTGTGTCTGATTGTATGCTTTATGGCATCATCTGTTTGTATTTAGGAAAGCTCATGCTTTCTGAATGCAAGATTTAAGTATAACCCTAAGGGAATCACAATAGGTACAATGGCAGGTTGAAATCTATGTAGTATGCTATAGCTGCTGGTTCATGATTTGATCACAAGA